CCTGCGTGCTTTCACATTGAGCAGCATTAACTACACAGAGCCGTTGTTCACTAACGAGCTGCGCTAAACCACGTTCATATTCGCGCGATTTTTTGCGCAACTCATCAGTGAACAACGGCTCTGTGTAGTTAATGCTGCTCAATGTGAAAGCACGCAGGTGATGGAGATTTACCGCTGATAACAGAACCGGCTTTCTGACAAGATGCGCGTTAAATATCGCATGCGATTAATCGTGCAGCCCTAATATCTAGCTACATTTAGCTCTGACCATTTGTCATCAGATCATCCGAACCAGAAATAAGCAGTTGTAAATGGGTTTTAGCTGTATTGCCAATTTCACAGGTTTTTTTTTCAATGAGTGTGTGTGTGTGCGCGTGTGTGTGTTAATATTCACACAGACCTTACAGCAAAATTTTTAAGTATTTCTTGCAATAGAACAATAAATCAAGCAACCCATCTCTAGACATACTAAAAATCATGAATTCCCATTAGGAGAATAAACACACACAAAGACACTGCTAGCAGGCCTATATGGCTATTATATATAGCATTATATATGTATAACACACACACACACACACACACACACACACACACACACATCCATCCCATTAAAGGCATGGAGGGAGGTCAAAGCCACCCACTCTACAACAGCAGACTATAAAACAGAGTTCATGATGGCTTCAGCATTCACTCTACAAGAAGACTCTGTCACTCAGTCTTAAGGAAATATAAGCATCTGGCATTTGAGGGAAACAGACGTCCAGAATTCTACAAAGTGGCTTTGCAGAAATGCCTCTGCATAAGATACAGAAATGGCTGCACAGTCACCAAAAGTTTGGAAGCTTCCTTCATATGTGGGTCGGATCAGATCAGACAGTGCTGGGATTTTGGTCACACACAGGTATGGGTGCAGAGCTCAGGCTAAATTAAAGTAGATGGTGGGGGGTGAAGCGTTGTGACCACGGCTCCATAAATAACCAGGATTTATTAGATCTTAAAAACACTTTTAACAATACTGACCCTAATGCATTCTATGTTTGATAATGCACTCAGGGCTTTAAGAGTGGGATAAACAGACCTATAACTCTTGTTTTTATCATTCCAGCATGGGGAGAACACAGAATGAGTTCTACAGCAGCGTTCAAAGGGTCACCACAATATTGCTTTCAAATTAATGGCTACCGTCGCAGCAAACAAACCATCTTCAAACTGGAACCGCCCCCCCCCTCCAATTTTGCCAATTGTTCAACATTTTATGTAAATATTTGTAATAGATATTCACTTTGCGGAGTCATATGACATTATAACAGTCTGTGGAAATTATATGTGACCCTGGACCACAAAAGCAGTCTTAAGTCGCTGGGGTATATTTGTAGCAATAGTCAAAAAAACATTGTATGGGTCAAAATTAACAATTTGTCTTTTATGCCAAAAATCATTAGGATATTAAGTAAAGAGCACATTCCATGAAGATATTTTGTAAATTTCCTACTGTAAATATATCAAAACTTAATTTTTGATTAGTAATATGCATTGCTAAGAACTTCATTTGGACAACTTTAAAGGCGATTTTCTCAGTATTTAGATTCTTTTGCACCCTCAGACTCCAGATCCTCAAATAGTTGTATATCGGCCAAATATTGTCCTATCCTAACAAACCATACATCAATGGAAAGCTTATTTATTCGTAATAAATATATGTATAAATCTCAATTTAAAAAACTTGACCCTTGTGACTGGTTTTGTGGTCCAGGGTCACATATGTAGGATATAGCAGTGAAATCTTCTGCCAAAGATTTTACCTGAAATACAAAATCTAAACTTGAAAGGAAATTAAATATGTCATTTCAATTTGGATGAACAATATTCCCTTGACTAATCACGCCTTTAGAGGTGTATTTTATCAAACACAACACATCCGTTTTTTTTAAACAGCGTAATAATGAACAGCAATATATTATTCTACAGTTGTCACTGGGTGTAGCCTGAGTGACTGAGTATTTCATGCGAGTGTTAAAAGAATAGCCTCCGTCGGTGAATCATCTGAAGCTGATGACGTTCCTGGCTGTGTTTAATTCGCATATTTTTTGGGGAATGAATCAAGGGTTCTGTTCTGTGCCAAAGTGCTCTCAAAGGATAGTGTGAGGTGGAATAAATCATAAATACAACGTGCATCAGGAAATTAATGTATTTTCAGAATATTAAAAACTAACATTGATGATGTATTAGGTAATGATTCTCCTTAGGGTATTTTGAGGACTTTATAATTAAAGGGATAGAATATGTTAGATTAAAGGTACATCAAAGAAGGGCTAAAATGTCTTCTGTGAAACACAAAAGAAGACATTCTGAAGAACAGGCTTGTAGATACAATGAAAATCAGTGAGGTTGAATACAACATTGGACCTTGTTGACTTCCATTTGTATGGATTTGTGTGTGTGTGTGTTCAAAAGAAGAAAATAAGTCAGTTTTGGACTGACATGAGGATGAGCAAATGATTACAGGATTATCAGGGTACAAGATGTCCCTTGCTACAGATCACAGGGTCCATCATCTTTGTCCCATGGTCCTAACATTATACACACACACAAAGAGAGAGAGAGGTAGGCAGTGAATGAATGGGTTGTGTGAGAGGCTGGCCTTGGGGTCACCGTTGCTTTCTTGTGCCAAAACTGTTTATGTTATCCTGGAGGAGAAGAAAGAGGCCGAACATGTTCCCTGCCAAACATTTATCCTGTCTCAAGCCTGCCCCAAACACATACCAGGAGCCTACATTGACCGAAGCTGCCCTTAACATCAAA